GGGAGACTTCAGTTATCATCACAGGACCCCTCTACACGTGAGTCAGCGTGTGATTGCTGTCGTGAACAGGGATGATGTTCTTCGTAATCACGTCAGGCCTCCACTTCTTTCAGCAGGACACCGCTCGTCCCTATAGAGCACGGGCCTCTATGGACTTCCTCAGAGTGAATAACATTCCTGTGATACCCTGGCCGTCATTGTCACCGGGCATGCGCCAATTGAGCATGTGTTGGGAGAGTAATGGAGACCTGTTCAGGCTTCATGGCAGACACATACACTTCAGGAACTGGAAGCCGTTTTGGTCTGGGAATGAAATGGGGATTCCTTTGTTTGTTTGTTGTTTAACGACGCACTCAGCAATATTCCAGCTTTTTGGCGGCAGTCTGTAAATAATTGAGTCTGGATCTGACAATCCATGATTGATATCATGATCATCGATCCACACAATTGGGACAGATGACATGCATCAACCAAGTCAGCGAGCCTGACCACTCGATCCAGTCAGTCGCCTCTTACCACAAGCATAATCACCTTTTACGGCAAGCATGGGTTGCTGAAGGCCTATTCTACCCCGGATCTTCAGGGGTCAATGGGATTCCACAAGCCTTCTTCCAAACACTTGTTGACTCAGTGAGGGCAATATGCAGCCTGTATCACAGCTAACGGAGGCCACACAAGCTATTGACGGACACCAATGACATCATTTTCTGTTTGGGGTACCCTGTTTTTGTTGGGATTTTTCAATAAACACGGATGGTTGTCTTCAAACAATCAACGCCCATTTGTTAACAAATGTTTTCTTTGGTATCATTTCTTAATATTATCCACATATATTTTATGGTCTTAACATTATCCACATTTCTATGTACAACTTGCGTTTCTTTTGCGGTTGAGTATAAGACTAATGAATGAATGGCTTGTGTGTGTGTGATCCCCATGTAGCTTTCAATTTGAGTTAGAATGTCAAACCCCAAAGCTGAGTGAGTGAGTTGGGTTTAACACTGCTTTGAACAGTATTTCCGTTAAATGCCTTGTCACAGTCTTAATGTGTCGACCAAAGAAGGTCTTAAATTGTTGTGTCACTTTGGTAAAACCAATGAGCACGGACATGGTGCTGACAAACCAAGAAACATAACCAGGACGAATCTGGGAATCGGACCCAAGACCACAGGTTTCTGCACAATGAGTGAGTGAGTGAGTTTGGTTTAACGCCGCTTTTAACAGTATTCCAGTTATATCACGGCATGTCAGCTTAATGTGGGAGGAAAGCCCGAAGTGATGCAGGTCTAAGACGTTTACCACTTCGGTGAAACCCAAGAGCACGGGTATGGTGCTGACAAACCTAGAAACATAATCGGGGCGAACCGGGATTCGAACCCACAATCATAGGTTTCTGGCGTGCCCAAGGGACGCAGCTCTGCATAGTGAATCGTGGCGCCTTAGACGACTGGGCCCCCCGTGCCCCCCTGCACAATGAAGAGATGCACTGCACAGAAAATTGTGTCGCCTTTGACAACAGTGCCATCTGTCTCCTGGCCACCATAGCCCCTTCATCTTTGTCATCTGATGAGACAAACGTGATGAAGACCTGGACCCGGCTGTATCAAACTTTAATGATGCATTGACGCGTCATTAAACATTCATTAACTAATGTACCAATAAATCTAGGTTTACTAACGTTCTAATGATGTCGTGCTGTCATTTTGTTTTTATTTCTTTTGTTGTACGCTGACAAACACAGGGAGCGTTAACTTTGGTAGTTATGTCTGCCCAAATAGACTTTTTTCTTTGGAGGGTAACGGTGCTACACAACTTTACTGTTAATCCAGTGATTGACATCATGAGAATCGATCTAAGTTGGGATACGATGACATGCATCAGCCAAGTCAGCGAGCCTGACCACCCGGTCCCGTCGCCTCTTACGACAAGCATCGGCTACTGAAGACTAATACTTACCCGGATCTTTACGGGAAGATATATATATAATTATATTACTCAACCGCAAAAGAAACGCAAGTCAAGTCTATTGTTTGTGAAATACACAAGATAGTAATTCGTGAAAAGAAATGCATACAAATGTAAAGAGACGCATTGAAGAAACACTGTTCACTATTTACATCATTCATTTTGAGCACGTCGTAGGAACGCAGTCGCTTCGTCTCGTTTGGCGTTTTTTGCACGTGCAGCGCAAATCACATGCAAAAATGCGTGCATTTCCCCACCTTGTCCATCCTTTATAAGCCACTATATAAAATAACACACCAAGCATTTTACACTCGACTTTGAAACAGGACAGGAAACATGATTCGATTAAATGAACTCCTGAGAGGTGTTACCATAGGGATGCTGCTGGCCGGATCAACGTCAACTGCAGCGGCGAGGTACTTGTGTCTTCCATTACCAGATTGGTCACATGGCATCAACAGACAGGCAGTGACCAAGACCGGCCTCGATCTGGACGGCCAAGGATCACTACTCCAACACAGGACCGTTACACCGGGGTGACACATCTGCGTGACCAACAGCGACCAGCAACACAGACAGCTGCAACCATTCTATGTCCACGTCATCCCGTGTTAGTCGACACAGTTCGGCGTCTCAGAGCGGCGGGAATCAGATGTTGTCGTCCTCACGTCGGGCCCACACTGTCTCAACGTCACCGACGTCTGCAGTGGGCCCAGCAGCATCTGCGTTGGCGAAGCATCAATGGGTGGGGAGGCTTCAGTTATCATCACAGGACCCCTCTACACGTGAGTCAGCGTGTGATTGCTGTCGTGAACAGGGATGATGTTCTTCGTAATCACGTCAGGCCTCCACTTCTTTCAGCAGGACACCGCTCCTCCCTATAGAGCACGGGTCTCAATGGACTTCCTCAGAGTGAATAACATTCCTGTGATACCCTGGCCGTCATTGTTACCGGGCATGCGCCAATTGAGCATGTGTTGGGAGAGTAATGGAGACCTGTTCAGGCTTCATGGCAGACACATACACTTCAGGAACTGGAAGCCGTTTTGGTCTGGGAATGAAATGGGATTCCTTTGTTTGTTTGTTGTTTAACGACGCACTCAGCAATATTCAAGCTTTTTGGCGGCGGTCTGTAAATAATCAAATCTGGATCTGACAATCCACTGATTGATATCATGAGCATCGATCCACAGAATTGGGATAGATGACATGCATCAACCAAGTCACTGACCACCCGATCCCATCAGTCGCCTCTTACGACAAGCTTGGTCGCCTTTTACGGCAAGCATGGGTTGCTGAAGTCCTATTCTACCCCGGATCTTCACGTGTAAACCGGATTCCTCAAGCCTTCATCCAAACACTTGTTGACTCAGTGAGGGCGATGTGGGCCTGTATCACAGCTAACGGAGGCCACACGAGCTATTGAAGGACACGAATGACACATCATTTTCTGTTTGGGGTACCCTGTTTTTGTGGGGATTTTTCAATAAACACGGATGGTTGTCTTCAAACAATCAACGCCCATTTGTTAACAAATGTTTTCTTTGGTATCATTTCTTAATATTATCCACATATATTTTATGGTCTTAACATTATCCACATTTCTATGTACAACTTGCGTTTCTTTTGCGGTTGAGTATAAGACTAATGAATGAATGGATTGTGTGTGTGTGATCCCCATGTAGCTTTCACTTTGAGCTAGAATGTCAAAGCTGAGTGAGTGAGTGAGGTGGGTTTAACACTGCTTTGAACAGTATTTCCGTTAAATGCCTTGTCACAGTCTTAATGTGTCGACCAAAGAAGGTCTTAAATTGTTATGTCACTTTGGTAAAACCAATGAGCACGGACATGGTGCTGACAAACCAAGAAACAACCAGAACGAATCTTGGAATCGAACCCAAGACCACAGGTTTCTGCACAATGAAGAGCTGACTGCACAGAGAATTGTGTCGCCTTGGACAACAGCGCCATCTGTCTCCTGGCCACCATAGCCCCTTCATCTTTGTCATCTGATGAGACAAACGTGATGAAGACCTGGACCCGGCTGTATCAAACTTTAATGATGCATTGACGCGTCATTAAACATTCACAAACTAATGTACCAATAACAGGGTATGAAACTCCCAAATTTCAGCCAGACCACAGGACTGGCTAGCTGAAATACTTGCCAGCCCTGACCAAAACCTGCCTGCCCACTATAATCATATGTTTCTCAGGATAAGCTAACGGGGTTTCTTTTTGGTTACATTTTATCATTCATGTGAATTAATGCTTATCATCGAGAAATATTTTGAATATTTTCACATATGAAATATAACCCGACCGTCGGGCAGGGGGATTTGAAAATCTGGCAGCCTGAGTTGAAATCAACCCGTCTCGGACGGTCGGGCAGGCAGGTATTTCGAACACTGCCAATAAATCTAGGTGTTCTAACGTTCTAATGATGTCGTGCTGTCATTTTGTTTTTATTTCTTTTGTTGTACCCTGACAAACACAGAGATCGTTAACTTTGGAAGTTATGTCTGCCCAAATAGCCTTTTTTCTTTGGTGGGTAACGGTGCTACACAACTTACTGTTAGGCATGGAGATGTGTTTCTCCACCAACTCGGCTAATAGCTGAATATCGGAGCTGTCGATGTTCTTGTTTCTATTCCTAGGTTAGGTGGAGTCGATGCCATTTGACAGATGACCAGAAGTAGCGCGTACGTGTTTACGTCAGGGAATTGTAGGAAATATTTAGGGGAAATCCCGAATTTAATGACAGGTTAATGAAAACACTTACATTAAGGCATCATTAGATATTGATATGCCAATAAACGTTTGATACAACCAATTTAATGATGTCATTAACTAATGGTGAATTAAGAATTGGGTGGCATGCTGCCCCACGAAAATATTAAAAACAAGGATTAAAATAAGTGCATTTTACATCATTCTGAGAGGAAAAATCCCAGGATTCCAGAAATCTGAGGAAACTTCTCATGTCTGATACTAGAATCATATTTAGCAGTACAATGACAAAAACTCATATTAGATGAATTTCCAAACAATGTTAACAGGCAAAAACTTGTCTGTTATAAATTTTATTGATGCCTTCCTGTCCCATGATGAATTGCATTAATACATCACTGTATACGATACAACCACACAAATGTACATCATTCATATACATGGATCGTTCTGACATACAGTTTACATGTTTTCTTGCAACAGACACCATCACACTACCCAGACATATGTCTATATTCAATATTTTTCATCAGAATGATATACAAAATATATGCCAGGGCTAAGGAGAATATTATTTATGTGAGTATGAATAAATACATTTTGTAAGCATGAGACTTAGAACAAGGAACACTGGCTAAAGCAAATAAACATTTCAAATTTTGTCATCTTTTAGTTAAAAAAAAGAGGATGTGCAACAAGTACATATGTTCTATCATCAAATGTAATACAGCTGAATAATGTTTCACAGGCACATAACAATCCCTTAACATGGGCCAGTTAGTAACACTATGGCTATAAAATTAATCCTACATATTATGAGACAAATTCAAGAAAGCTCCATGGGAAACAAGTCAACAACATTTTAAAGAATGGTTATAAAAACAAATAACATTCAAATACATGTACTCAAAAAATAAATTCACTATTTGTTAATTACTATTTTAATTCATGAACAAAGAAACATTACAACAATCATATGAACCAAAAGAAAACAAAATGGATTTTCTATCATAAACACATCAATACTACAATCTACAGAAGCAAGCATTAACAATGAAGGATTTCTCTACTGGATTAAACCATTATGTAAATAAACTCTACCAAACCTTTTCTATTTCTTGATTTGCAGATTTACAAATGCGGGTTTGTTGTTATTTTTGTTGTTGTCTCATAGGGCCTTGCACTTTAACCAGTTTTATACGCAGCTTTGTGTGGCGAGCAAATACGATTGCATTCAATGGAATAAATAAAAAAATAAAGAGCTTTTCAGATTTTACTTATCCCAACATCATTTTAAGGAAAATCTTTAAACCAATTCCTTTAAAAGTCTCGCCTTGCATGAACCTACTTTACCGAAAAAAACCTCCAATGGCACCAACCATTCAATGTACCTCATACCTGATGAGTTACTAGAATGGAATGAGAGTACATTCACATTTGTGCAAGTACATGTTTAATGTTATATATTCAAGCAGATACACCCAGCTGGCCATTTGTTATAAGATGATGGTTTTTGAATATTGAGTTCACCTGCTCCTTGGGAGTCTGACCAGGATCTTCCACTGGCGTTTTAAAGTAATCTATCTTTCAACACATTTTCCAATTTTATTGCATCTGCTGCAAATTTGCGAATTCCCTCGGAGAGTTTGTCATTGGACATCTGGTCTTCGTTCATCTCCCAGCGGAACATCTTTTCATCAACATTTATTTCATCAATGTCAAGTTTTTGTGCTGGAAAAGAAAAGAGCATAGACACATGATCGTTGTTTTAAACGAATACACAGAGTGGAGTGAACGATTGTTGTTTTACGCCACAGTGAGCAATATTTCAGTTGTGTTACAAATGTTATACCTGGGCTTGGCAAGCCAGTTGGGGTGAATCGATACTGCAGGGTCACGATACACTACATAGATCATTAGATAAATGTTCAAAGTGGCTTTTTTTATAATCAAACTTGAAACAGTAATTGAAACACATTTTGCATTGGCTGCCTGACAAAAATGCAAAGGGTCATAAAACGAACAGAAAGTGTATCAGCAAGTGTATCATCTTGTATCGATACAGAAAAAAACCCTGTTATCGTGTATCGTATCGTCACATGAAAACTCATGATGCACCGTTGCACCGATTGACCCCAACAAACCAGTGGTTGAGAGTATAAGCATCAAGCCATATCACTGGGGCAGGTTGACACACAAATTGTATGTTGTTGAATGCCGTACTTGCGTCTGGACCAGACAATCTAGTGACTGATTTCATGAACATAAATCCACACAATTGGTATACCAAGACATGCAGTCATCCAAGCGAACAGCCTGATCACCCGATCGATTTGGTCGCCTATTAAAACAAGCATAGATCACTGGGGACCTGTATTCTTACCTGAAATACCCACGTGTTGAAAAAATTGAAATAAACCATATTTGGGTAGTAAAAAACAGCTTACTTATTCTATACTATGCTTGTCGTAAGAGGCGACTAACGGGATCGGGTGGTCAGGCTCGCTGACTTGGTTGATGTCTGTCATCATATCCCAATTGCGTGGATCGATCGATGCTCATGATGTCAATCACTGGATTGTCTGGTCCAGACTTGATTATTTACAGACCTCTGTCATGTAGCTAAAATATTGCTCAGTGAGGTGTTAAAGAACAAACAAAAACAAACAAACTATACTATAACCTTAAAAAAACAATTTATTGTGACAAAATTTCTCAAAAACTTACCAATCTAACAATAACTTTCATGACCTTAGCTTATGTGATATTTGTTTTTCTCTCACCTGATTTCTTGTCCAGATGCACCTCTACTGGGTCGGAGGAGTTAGACAACTTTTCCAGGAGTGAGGGGCTGGAAATGAAACATGATTTCATCAACTGGCTGATAATATATTCTATTCGGACAGATCAATTTGTCTGCTTCAGAGCTCAAGACAAGCTTTTGGTTATTTGGGTATATTACCCAGGGGTTTGATTTTGATTGGATGTCCCCCATTATCAGAGGGTATTCACATCTGTTTTACCCACCTGTTTCACATTTCGGTATTTTTTTAACTTGTGTCGTAACAATCCTGTTAATCATTTAAAACTAAATGAAGAGTCTGCAACTCCCTACCCTGGAAGTCATATTTGTTTGTAAAAACTAGCATTGTAAGAAAGGCATTATTTTTTTCAATCACCAATCAGCGACTGTTTAAGATGCATTTACTAGACATGATCATGATGATGAGCTTTTCAATTGGAATCTATTGATACTTGAGTTTGGTTGTTACACAAGCCTTTCCAACTCCAACTGTCAGTAAGTGAAATTAGTGATTGGCTGATACTACCCCCCTTCCAATAAGCTGCGCTCTGTGGCACTCAGGAGCGGGAACTGATCGTGCAAGATCGCCACATTTTGGGTTGTATTGGATTGCAACAGAAGCGCTATCTGACTGTAATCAGATCGTAAGTGCCCCTAGATAGCCGAAAAATGAGGAGACCTATGGTGCTCCCTCAGAGCATGTAGAGCGCAGAAGGGGGTCGGCTAGTGGAATGGGGGTATACACAATCATTTTATCTAACAGTTGTAAAATATGCAATTGTTTTATCTAATGTGATATACGCAATTGTTTTATTTCAATAGTTGTAACATACACATAATTTATGGTAGATTAATACATAAAACAAAAACATTTTAATTGGTCTGCCCTTGACATGAATAAAGAGTACTGCCTAATCAAATAAATATTTACCTTGACACAAACGAAGTAACAAGAACGGAGGTAACTCTCAATCCCCTGACCAATGTTTTCAATCATGTCATAGCCTCTGATTGCACACAACATGTACATATGTCAGATGGGGTTTGGGGAAAAATCCTTTAGTGGTGGACATAAAATATTCCACAATCATCAGTGCTTGGCACTGACCCAACGTTGTCAGTGGTCCAAAGTACCAGCGCCAAAATAAATCTATTGGTCCTGTAGGATCTCTACTAGACACATCTGTCACAGATTTCAAAAGTTAACAAACTTAAATGACCTTGTTCGTCCCCAAAATAACACTACACTAATGGACCACCATTTATTTTATTTTACTGGTCCTTATGAAAATATACTAGACTCTGACCAGCGGAACAGAGTTAGTGTCGAGCACTACTTTGATATAACCAAGCTGCTAAAATAGTAAATATTGGCCTTACGAGATGGTGAGCAGATCACAGCCAGCAAGACCCAGAATCTGGCCAGTGTTTCTGAAGGATGCCCCCATCACAACGGTTGGGAAGCCGTACTTCTTGTAGTAGTTGTAGATTCTTGTCACACTCCTCACACCTGTAAGTAAAAAGTACAGTCAGTGACAGTTCGCGCAAGTGCTGTGTAGGACGGTCAGCCATAGTCCGGCCACGTCCCTTCTGACCAGACACTAGTGGTGGAAATGACGTGTGGGCACGATGACCAACAATCAGCCCAGTCACAGCGTCTCCCCACAAATCCACCGCAGTTGACTCTCAAGACAAGCATCGAGTACAGGGGTCCAACAGTTCCCTTGTCTGGGTGAGCGAGTATGGTTTTACACTGCTTTTAGCAATATTTGAGCAATTTTACCACGGCAGACACCACAAATGGGCTTCACACATTGTACCCATGTCGGGAATCGAACCCGGGTCTTCGGCATGACGAGCTACTGCTTTAACCACCAGGCTACCCCACCGCCCTCTTTGTCTGACAAGGAGGAAAAGAGTGCATTTCACTCACCAGGATCTTCCAAAGGTTCGAAGGTCTTCTTGTCACCGTTCTTGACATACCAGTCAAATATCCTGCCTACAAACGGTGAGATGAGAGTAGCTCCAGCCTGTCCACATGCAACAGCCTGCAATGACAGCGTCAGTACGGCTCAAGTACAGACTCATGTTAGCACATGGCTTACAGATTCTAGCTAAAAAGCTTGGATAGGACACATTTTCAATAAATTAAATGCACACTGGACATTAACCATTGAGAGGAGGTGTTGTGCTTGAGTTGTTGATTGATAATGTGGGTTGGGGTAGGTGGGGTGGGGTTGTGTGGGGTGGGGTTGTGTGGGTTGGGGTAGGTGGGGTGGGGTTGTGTGGGTTGGGGTAGGTGGGGTGGGGTTGTGTGGGGTGGGGTAGGTGGGGTGGGGTCTTGTGGGGTCATGTGGGGTCGTGTTGGCAGCAATTCCTTTAAACAATGCATATTGTCAATGGTGTAGATCAATGGCGTTGACATAACTGAACACAGCAGTTGACAAACAAAAACCATAAGACACCTAAAAGAATTGTTGAGTCAAGACTGTCACACCTAGCTTGATTTGTTTGTTTGATGTTTAACGCCACACTCAGCAATATTCCAGCTATATGACAGCGGTCTGTAAATAATTGAGTCTGGACCAGACAACCAAGTGATTAACATCATGAGCATCGATGTACGCAATTGGGATTGATGACATGCATCAACTAAGTCAGCGAGCCTGACCACCTGATCCCGTTTGTCGCCTTTTACGACAAGCATAGTCGCCTTTTACAACAAGCATGGGTTGCTGAAGACCTATTCTAACCCGGATCTTCACTCCTGCACCTAGTTTGAAGGAGAGAGCCCAAGGTTATCAATGAAAACCCCAGCGACTAAAACTTCACTGACTTATTTTGATGCCACAACAGTTTCAATGAAGTTATTCTGCAATATTTCCAGATACTTTTCATCAGTTTATCCATGTAACCATGGTAACCAGTACATTCCGTGGGACACACACCTGGTGGAAGCTGAAGATGAGAGTCATGTTGCAGTGGATTCCGTATTTCTTCTCCAGGACTCTGAAACAATTTGGATGCACTTTGTTACAATTAGCAAACGATTAGCCAGATTATATTATTTCTTGGTATACAGCAATATACTATCTTCCATATTTTCTTGTCCATAAAGCGAGTCAAAGTATGGCAAGTATGCTATAAATACACTTACCTTCTCTGACCATAAGGTTAATTTTAAGTCACCAATAGAAGTACTTGCTGTAAATAACCGAGTTGGTGCGATCTGCTGATCACTGCACACACGATTTTGTTGAAATGAATATGAACAATACTGAATGAAAATTTGGAATAAGATGAAAAAAATACCTTCAAAACATGAAGCCAGATATACAATGAACAAATATGCATTTTGAGAAAATTTAAAAACATGGTCAAATCAAGGTCAAATTCTAAAAATATGGCCATAAAAGACACATATATGTTAAGCCTTTCTCCTCACTACCCATTTCCAAAATTTCACGACATGTTGAACATAAATGGAATAATAATGGACCCTAATAGGTTTTTCAATATACCTGCCTTGGCATAAAATCCGAAGAATGATCTGGGATTTATTTCCTGACAAAAAACTCTGGAAACAAAATAGAAAATCCAAAACAAACAAGCAGATATCATCGACTGAAATACCTTGAACACAACAATCTTCAAAATGATTCACCAATTTTTAACTACTAGGCTACCCTGCCACCCGAAATTAACCCTGGAACGTTTGACACAAGCCCTGCAATGGCTGCCCCCTCACCTGGCTGCCTCAACACCCTCCCAGGTGGACGAGAGTTTGATGAGAATTCTTTCCTTGTCTATGCCCAAGTCCTTGTACATTTTGATCAGTTTCTGAGCCTTGGTGATCATGGCATCCTTGTCAAACGATAACCTGTAACAAACGCAAGTGGAAATCTACATGACACACACCAACACTTGCTGAGCTCCAAAAACACTGAAATAGTGCATACAGATTGTGGATCAATGCTTACTTGAATCTGGAATTTGAATAGAATTTTAAGGGTTGGGAGCAAAAATATATAGGGTTGGTAACTGGAACGAGGAAAATGTAAATTCTTAACAGACCTAAAGGACCAGATGGGATAAGAGCCCTTTTTGACCCATTGTTTATGTCAAATTTTAAGAGTTTGGCAAACTTTGAAATATTGGTATAAAATTATAAGACAATTTCCAGTGTTTGACAACTAGCCGTTTTTCTTTCTTGGGAATTCTGACATGATCAAATACAGAAGTATTATTAACATGATTAAGGGGAGTGAAAAGTTGGAATTTTCGAAAATAGAAAAGGGAATGTAACTTAGAGGAAGTTGGTACACACACATTTTGTGACATATGTTGATGCTGTCCTTCTCTACATCTTCCAAACCTCTAAGTAAGCCCTCTTGACAATTTTTGCCGACTTTTACAATTAAGATTGATATAAAGTCCAAATGAACAAAATCTAATTCTCACAACAATTCCCATAGGATTTGTTCATTTCTTAAACTATACACATTCTGTAGCCAAAAAGCTGTTATCATCCTTGGTTTTTTTATTTCAAACCACAGCACGCCAGTAATTGTGACTGGGGGTACAATGATTGGCAATCTGTCCGGTCACAGAGTTGACAACACTATAGTTATATCTGGAGTAGAGAGGGGATACGAGTAGAGAGGATATATGAGTAGAGCGGAGATACAACTAGAGAAGATATACGAGTACAGCGGAGATACGAATAGAGCGGAGATTCGAGTAGAGCAGAGATTCGAGTAGAGCGGAGATTTCGAGTAGAGCAGAGATACGAGTAGAGCAGAGATACGAATAAAGCGGAGATTTCGGGTAGAGCGGAGATATGAGTAGAGCAGGGCAGAGATACAAGTAGACCTGAGATATGAGGAGAGAGGAGATATGAGTAGAGAGGAAATACAAGCAGAGAGGAAATACGAGTAGAGCAGATATGAGTAGAGCAGAGATATGAGTTGAGTGAAGCTTAGAGTAGAGCAGAGATAGGAGTAGAGCAGGTTTACCTAGCATCGACTTCAGTGGACACTCTGCCGGGGATGATCTTGAGGATTTCACAGCCGAAGTTAATGCACACCCTGTCCATGGCCTGTACGACCTGCTCATCGATGCTCCTACAAAAGAGAGAGTCTTGTTTAATGTCACTAAGAACAGTTTAGTCAGGGATGACCCCCCCTTGCAGAAAATAAAAAAACCTGTTAGATAAACTCATCTTTCCCTCAAAGAGTCAATGGCAAAATCCACTGCAGATTTCGTCCATTTGCTGAAAGATATTCTGTGTGTCGTCCCCTGAACATGTTTGATATGAATGCAAGGAAACAAACAGGCTGAGTCAATAGTGAGTGAGTGAGTGAGTGAGTGAGTGAGTGAGTGAGTGAGTGAGTGAGTGAGTGAGTGAGTGAGTGAGTGAGTGAGTGAGTGAGTGAGCGAGCGAGTATGGTTTTATGCTGCTTTTAGCAATATTCCAGCAATATTCCAGCAGGGGACACCAGAAATGGGATTCACATATTTACCCATGTGGGCAATTGAACCCGGGCATCCGGCATAACGAGCAAACACTTAAACCACTAGCCTCCCCACTGCCCCCTCTCAGTCAAATACACCTCAGTGCATGACCTTTGTGTGAACCCTACAGTTGCCTGACATTGCCGGAGAGTGGAGAGTACAAGGCTGCAAGGCTAGGGCACATGTAATGTAATATTGCTCATGTAATCCGATTTTTTGTTGGTCAGAGAACCCACTGTTTTCCCTTTTGCTGGAACCAGGATGTGGCTTGATTTGTTGGTTAAAATAGCAACTCCACTGCAAAGCATCAGTATGTATTCATGGGCGATTAGTCAAAGTGGGGTAACTTTAAGAAGCTCAAGCCAACTTTAACAACAAATCGTATCTGTCATGAAACCCTACTAAAAATAACGTTTTCCGCTAGGTCTAGTCTAGGGTGTTCACTGCCAGTCTATGGTGTTCACATACAGTCTATGGTGTTCACTAACACAGTCAAGGGTGTTCCCAGACAGTCAAGGGTGTTCACTGACAAGTCTAGGGTGTTCACTGACAGTCCAGGGTGTTCACTGACAAGTCTAGGGTGTTCACTGATAAGTCTAGGGTGTTCACTGACAGTCTATGGTATTCCCGGAGAGTCAAGGGTGTTCACCGACAGTCCAGGGTGTTCACCGACAGTCTAGGGTGTTCACTGACAAGTCAAGGGTGTTCACTGATAGTCTATGGTATTCCCGGACAGTCTAGGGTGTTCACCAACAGTCTAGGGTGTTCACTGACAAGTCTAGGGTGTTCACCGACAGTCTAGGGTGTTCACTGACAGTCCAGTGTGTTCACCGACAGTCTAGGGTGTTCACTGACAAGTCAAGGGTGTTCACTGATAGTCTATGGTATTCAAGGACAGTCTAGGGTGTTCACTGATAGTCTATGGTATTCCCGGACAGTCTAGGGTGTTCACAGACAGTCCAGGGTGTTCACCGACAGTCTAGGGTGTTCACTGACAAGTCAAGGGTGTTCATTGATAGTCTATGGTATTCCGGAAAGTCTAGGGTGTTCACTGACAGTCCAGGTTGTTCACCGACAGTCTAGGGTGTTCACCGACAGTCTTGGGTGTTCACTGACAAGTCTAGGGTGTTCCCTGACAAGTCTAGGGTGTTCCTGGACAGTCTAGGGTGTTCACTGACAAGTCTAGGGTGTTCACTGACAGTCCAGGGTGTTCACTGACAGTCCAGGGTGTTCACTGACAAGTCTAGGGTGTTCCCCGACAGTCTAGGGTGTTCACTGGAAGTCCAGGGTGTTCAATGACAGTCTAGGGTGTTCACTGACAAGTCTAGGGTGTTCACTGACAGTCTATGGTATTATCTGACAGTCAAGGGTGTTCACTGACAGTCTATGGTATTCCCAGACAGTCTAGGGTGTTCACTGACAACTCTATGGTGTTCACTGATAGTCTATGGTGTTTCCGGACAGTCTAGGGTGTTCCCGGACATTCTAGGATGTTCACATACAGTCTATGGTGTTCAGTGACAGTCAAGGGTGTTCCCGGACAGTCTAGGGTGTTCACTGACAAGTCTAGGGTGTTCACTGACAGTCCAGGGTGTTCACTGACAATCTAGGGTGTTCACTGACAGTCCAGGGTATTCACTGACAGTCTAGGGTGTTCACTGACAAGTCAAGGGTGTTCACTGATAGTCTATGGTATTCCCGGACAGTCTAGGGTGTTCACCAACAGTCTAGGGTGTTCACCGACAGTCTAGGGTGTTCACTGACAGTCGAGGGTGTTCACTGACAGTGGAGGGTGTTCACTGACAGTCCAGGGTGTTCACCGACAGTCTAGGGTGTTCACTGACAAGTCAAGGGTGTTCACTGATAGTCTATGGTATTCCTGGGCAGTCTAGGGTGTTCACGGACAGTCCAGGGTGTTCACCGACAGTCTAGGGTGTTCACTGACAAGTCAAGGGTGTTCACTGACAAGTCTAGGGTGTTCATTGATAGTCTATGGTATTCCCGGACATTCTAGGGTGTTCACGGACAGTCCAGGGTGTTCACCGACAGTCTTGGGTGTTCACTGACAAGTTTAGGGTGTTCCCTGACAAGTCTAGGGTGTTCACTGACAAGTCGAGGGTGTTCACTGACAAGTCTAGGGTGTTCACTGACAGTCCAGGGTGTTCACTGACAAGTCTAGGGTGTTCCTGGACAGTCTAGGGTGTTCACTGACAGTCTAGGGTGTTCACTGACAGTCTAGGGTGTTCACTGACAGTCTATGGTATTCTCTGACAGTCTATGGTGTTCCCGGACAGTCTAGGATGTTCACTGACACAGTCTAGGGTGTTCACTGACAGTCCAGGGTGTTCACTGACAAGTCTAGGGTGTTCACTGTTAGTCTATGGTATTCCCAGACAGTCTAGGGTGTTCACTGACAACTCTAGGGTGTTCACTGACAGTCCAGGGTGTTCACTGATAGTCTATGGTGTTTCCGGACAGTCTAGGGTGTTCCCGGACATTCTAGGGTGTTCCCGGACATTCTAGGGTGTTCACTGACATTCTAGGGTGTTCACATACAGTCTATGGTGTTCAGTGACAGTCAAGGGTGTTCCCAGACAGTCTAGGGTGTTCACAGACAAGTCTAGGGTGTTCACTGACAGTCCAGGGTGTTCACTGACAAGTCTATGGTGTTCACTGACAGTCTAGGGTGTTCACTGACAGTCTAGGGTGTTCACTGACAGTCCAGGGTGTTCACTGATAGTCTATGGTGTTTCTGGACAGTCTAGGGTGTTCACTGACAGTCAAGGGTGTTCCCGGACAGTCTAGGGTGTTCCCGGACAGTCAAGGGTGTTCACTTACCCTCCCTTATCCTTGGCGTACTTTATCGCTTCATCGATAAGTGGTTGGTAGGCTGGCATGCTGGAGGCGGCATAGATGAGGGAGGGGTTAGTTGTCGCATCTGTTGGCTTGTACTTCTTCATAGCTGAAACAGTGAGTGAGTGAGTTGTGTTTACACCACTTTTAACATCACTTCAGTTATATCACGGCATGTCAGCCGAATGTGGGAGGAAAGCTGAAGTGCTGCAGGTCTCAGACGTTTACCATCATCTCCAACCTGGTACCATTACCGTAACACATACCTACTCATTGTGTGATCCTCCGCCTACTGTATATATTCTGTACAATGTTCCTCATTCAGTCTTGCTTGACAATGGTATAAGGATCTATACCGCAACATCGCCTTTACAGTATTAAAGAAGTTGTTATCCATAAATTGTGTCTACTTGGGGCAACTAAATGGAATGGGTGGTCACGTTCACTGACTTTGTTGATGCATGTCATCGTATCTCAACTGAATGGATCATGCTCATGATGTCAATCACTGGATTGTCTGGTCCAGAATCGATTTACAGACCGCCGTCATACAGCTGGAATATTGCCGAGTGTGGCGTTAAACAACAAACAAAGCAAAATGCTAACACAATGAGAGGCCTCTGTGCATTTCAATTTTCTATGACACATGATCTAAACCCTTAACATGCTTAAAATCTCATTCCTCTCCCAATCTGAATACATAAATCATGCTCAATTCTGCTCAAATGACTTTTCGGTTTGAGGAAGTCCTGTGCTTTAGAAGAGAAAGTCCTATGATTCTAGCAAACTTCATAAAATAGTTGTATACATTTTCGGTTTAATGCTATCATGGTTTGGGAAAACATGTCTATTCGAATAACCTTCTCTGTGACCTTGACCTTACGTGTAGGTCATCATGACACTATCATGTCTGCCCCACTGCATGAAAAGTACTACGTGTCATTGACACACAGTAAACATGGTACACCCCTGAGTTAAGTAAACAAAGTTTTTTTCCAGGAATGAATATTGCCATGGCAGTACAGGAGGTACACTTGAAATTTCTGAGATGTCAAACACTGCATGGTTCCATGGAGGTGGTCGTCAAATTCTGACCAAACCTTTTCTTTGTTTGTTTGTTGCATAACGCTGCACTCAGCAATATTCAACTACATGACGGCGGCCTGTAAATAATCAAGCCTGGACCAGACAATCCAGTGATTGATAGCGTGAGCATTGATCTACGCAATTTGAATACCATGAGAGGCATCAACCAAGCCAGCAAGCCTGACCACCGGATCCTGTTGGTCGCCTCTTACGACCAGCATGGATCGCTGAAGACCTATTCTAACCCGGAACTTCACGCATAGACAAAACCTTTGTGAATGCGTGATTCAACTATACAAAACATGCACCGATGCAACCTATTATTGAAAAGCGCAAGTGCATGTAAAAAAAATTCAAATTTGTGTCTAATCCTTAATTTTTCCACACATGGACCTTTGAACCCACTCAATACATCTAAGCTTATGCATTGCACTACATCACTAATCCCTGTGTAAAGTGTAATTTGTCAGGCTTTCTTTGGATTGACGTAATCACCATGTGAGCACTTTCTAGTGTGTTTTATAGTAATATATTAATTTATGTATAATCATGATATAGTCATCAGTCATAATAGGTCTTAGATTATATTTATTGAGATGAGTCTGTGTTTCAACTTTGACAAATGTATAGGACAAGGGTGCAACCTGGTTCTTGTCTGGTGCAACTAGATTTTCATGGCAACATTCACCTGGTGCAACATAAATAAATTTCCTTAAATCAATACTACTGCATCACCATTTGAATGAGGTGACAGGAAAGTTGACCATGTACCCTGCAATGAAAACAAGGTCACCATGGTCAAATGTGTTACACTTTCCAAACAAAGAATAAAATATCCCCTAGTGTATTTTACCACATGTTCACTATCACTATGCATGCGTGAGTGAGTTGGGTTTATCACTGCTTTTAACATTATTCCAGTTATATCAGCATGTCAGCTTAATGTGTTAGGCAAGCCCGAAGTGATCCAGGTCTCAGACGTTTACCACTTCGGTGAAACCCACGAGCATGGGTATGGTGCTGACAAACCTAGAAACATAATCGGGGCGAACCGGACTATACATGAAAATGTGTACATCGTCTTGGATATTAAAAGTCTGGAACTTTATCCAAAATGAATGTATTTGTGATAAAAATGGCAAACATCAACCCCAGCCAAGGACACAAATGACCTTGAAATACAAAACATCTTTCACATGGGTTCACTTGGATTCACATGAGGCATGTATCCAGGGCTCAACAAATTTCTTTTCATACTGCCTACCCAACCCCCCTCTGGAAGAAAACATTAAGCTACTAGATGCAATTAGATGGACTCGTGTAGGTTCACATGAAACATTTATACAAGGCTCAACAAAATTGTTTGGATATCTGTTGAAATGTGTTCCGTAAGTGATCTCTAAATATAACTGCTTTGAACACTGCCAACCATATCACACAACACTTTCAACACAGTAATGTTTTTTGCATTGGGCCAGTGGTGCGTTAAGTGGAAACTGAACAAGTATGAAAGTATGTAGAAGTGGATTGTTTTGTTTGGCCCTGATAGGGTGCTTCATCGTTCACCATCATTTAAAATGGGATAACTAGAGTCATGTACATAGGTTATTCCCTCAACTATGTGAAATTGAATAAGAACCGAAACTGCAGCGTAAGGGTTTATATATTAAATTTGGGGCAGTTAAATCTACAGTTAACCTCTCTCTACACTGAAAACACAGTTTGTTTATCTCCATTCTACCATGACTAAATTAAATGTGAACTCTTTAGTATTAGCAAATATAATGAGTGAAGCGTCCAGTGTTTCGAATGGGTTGTCGATCTGAATTACGGAATCACCGACAACAGCCCCAAAACAAAATATGACGCTGCAAATGATCAGGCAGTTTGTTGACACAGTAATACTTCACTCAAACATGTTGGTTGGTTTGTTGTTTAACGCCGCACTCAGCAATAGTCCAGCTATATGACGGCGGTCTGTAAATATTCGAGTCTGGACCAGACAATCCAGTGATTAATATCATGAGCATCGATCCACGCAATTGGGACCGATGACATGCATCAACCAAGTCAGTGAGCCTGACCACCCGATCCCGTTAGTCGCCTTTTACGACAAGCATAGTTGCCTTTTACGGCAAGCATGGGTTGCTGAAGACCTATTCTACCCCGGAATCTTCACGGGTCACTCAAACATGTGACACTGACAGGCATTAAAAGCATACAAGCTTTTAAAGCTGTGTAAGCGAAAATGAGGTGGCACTCGTAAAGAAAACTATGCAAGCCTTGCAAAGCTTCCGTTTTACACCGCTTGTCCCCATTATGTCGCAAAAGATATGACGTCACCGTTGTATATAGAAAAGACAAAATTCCCAGCTCTCTATTCTCACAAAACTTAAAAGTATATTCCCTTTGTAGATTTCTATTGTGTTTTCTGCAGATCCTTTGAATATTGTAGTAACTGTAACCTATAATTGTAGATATAACTATTTAAATATGCCTACCAATCACTGAAAAAGTACTATTCTATGAATATCAGGGTTAGAAACAGTTTTTGTCCACTAGTCCTTATAATGATAACATATAGCAAAACCCTTAAAATGGGCCAATTTCTACTAGTCCTTAGGATACCTTTACTATTGGGCAGTTTGGTAAGGACTACAGGACTAGTGCCAATTTCTAACGCTGAATATTAATTAGCTTGAACTGTGATTTAGAGGGGGCTTATTATGATTTGACAACCTCTGATTGACCAATCAGAATCAAGTGGAATTTCTTTTATGAGCACTGGTTGCCCTTATCAGGTCATTGACCACATTGTGTAACACAGTCCTGTCATCTGGGCCACTCTCTGACACAATACACTTTGTAGATAATAAGATTGTTGGTTATTTTGGTATTAATTGCCTTTAAATCTTGGGGTCATTTCGGGTGCAGTTTGACCTATTTATCTTGCTTCGCTTAACCACACAAAGTAAACAATAATGATTTCTGACATTGCATTATTTATCTATTTTCGCCCCATTCATATCAAGATTTTATGTTACTGTCATGAAGTCAAGTCATAATGTAGTTTATCTTTTATGACCTGCTGCCCCATTAAACATTCAGTTACCGTGGAGTGGCTTACTCAGCAAAATATTTAATGACAGAGCACTTTATTGCACAGTATATAAGCAACGATGGAATTCAGAACAGATCTTGCTACTGATACCACTTTGAGTGTTTCTCTTCAAGAAAAAGTAAACACTTTTAGGTATACATGTTCAGGTCCAGCTCCACTATAGAGTTGCAGTGTCATGCTGACACTTGATTCGGGAAAGCTTGTGGACTTTGCCAGCTCAATATCGACATGTACAAATTAACATGCATGTGGCTGCTTGCATATTATTGAAAAAAGTCAACTGCATTTCTCTCAACAGTATCGGCACACTTTCCACGTGTCCACGCCTTTCACGGATGGACTGAAATTTCGTTCCGGCTTCATGCCCTAGTTACACGAGGCCACACATCGAGGACACCCATCTCACCTTCGAAATCACCTGTATCGGCGACAACAACTGTGTCCTCTTTTAACTGGTCAAGGGATGTCCTTGCTTGCTTTTTGGTGTCGCACATAATTATTGTTGGTCGTGAAGAGTCAGCTGTTCTGGACTTCGGCATGCAATCTTTCCCGCAGTATACTTTAAAGCGGATTTCCGAATGTAGTGCGCATGCGCGATAGCATTGACCTTGACAGATGCCCGTTCCTCAGTTAAACGTTTTGACGCCTATAACATGACATTGGATTCGCTCTACGATCGTTGATTCAGAGTGGTTGGCAGCGATGTGCACTACGATTTTTTTAACACTCTATATGCGAAGTCGCATAATAAAATATATATAAAAAAATGGACAGAAACTATTGATACAATGTTTGTTCTAAAAAAAACACACATCATATTTAAATAGTCGAAATATAACATAATAATTATTACGTCACAATAAGACTAATTGCACGAATAATATACAAAAAACATATTTATAGAATCAATGATAGTATATAGCTAGAAATAATATGCATAAGCACAAAGCATACATATATACGTATAGACATATCTAGGCCTACGTACATACACACTCAGAACTCGCATACTACATGCTCGTAAGAGGCGATTAATGAAATCGGGTGGTCAGTCTCGCTGACATGCTTGATGCATAATCGAGTCTGGACTAGACAGTCCAGTGATTGACATCATGAGCATCGATCCACGCAACTGGGATACGATGACATGCATCAACCAAGTCAGCGAGCCTGACCACCCGGTCCGTTAGTCGCCTCTTACGGCAAGCACAGTCGCCTCTTACGACAATCATGGGTTGCTGAAGACCTACTCTACCCCGGATCTTCACGGAGCTGAAGGCCTAACCTCTACCCGTTCTAAACACTATAGATGCGAAAGCGTATACGTGATTAACCACAAATACGTATATATGTATAATATGTATATATTTACAATTGTATGCATAAGTTGAAGCATTGTTGGTACTTTGGGTCATTATTGGTGCTTATAATCCATATGTCGTAAAAACAATATGACACACCCGCTCGTTTATTAATGTCTGTGTACTTCTTGAATAATATATTTATTCTAACAGTTTGACAATTATTTCATATTTTCTTTCAGTAAATTTTGTTGATAACTATACTTACAACATAAACATAACTAAGGGGCTCGCTGTTCTTCTGGCTTTGGGGGAGGAAGAGGAAGAAGTAGAAGAAATGGCAATTGTAACTTGTCTAAGATCTGGACGACATGGAATAACTCACCTCATGTTTCAACACACAACATGGCAATAACGGGAAATACAGTACCTCACAAACCTACCTCACAAACTATGACGTCACAGATGGAAATCCCCGTGCGATTACGTGAAAACTATGACGTCACAGATGGAAATCCCCGTGCGATTATGTGCGATGTGTTTCGTGCATCACCTGTTTTCAACATCGGAACGAAATGCATCGTGACGGGGGAAAAGGAGATATGTTCATTCGTGGCCTCGCCTCTCGTGATAATGTCTCCTCTCCACCCGTCACCCGATGAGAGAAACATGATATTTCACTCGACACATGAAATATCCTCTCTCTATATTTAAGACGTGTATTTTAGATATGGAAATCAGATATTCTTCTTCGAATGCTTCGCTCACCGCCAATGAAGAGAGGCATCGAACGGAGTAAAGGATCCGATGTTTACTTGTTTGATATATTTTCTGGCCTTCCGAACTTTAAGGAAACCTTAAACCACATTCGGCCTGCCTTGACTTCATTTGACGCAGTTACAGATTGTATGAGTAATTATATCGCTAGAGACGTTGATATAAAATTTTAAACAGGCAAAAGTGGGTTATTATTTCTCCTCGCCCCGTGCTTCTATCAACAGGGATATGTCCATGTACCCCCAAACTTGAAATCATGCATGAACAATTTATAACCTATTTGTCCCATACCCCATTTCTCCCATAAAAATAAGTAGAGCCTGTGTATTGCCAGTTTGGGGTGACATGTCTCAGCGATATCTGTATGTGAAAAAGTAATCAATACTTGTTATAGTTGTGTTGGACGAGTCATACATTGACGAGATTGACAATAAAAACGAATGGTTCCCACGGATTCAAAAGTTCAATCAGAGGAGTGGTCATGCTGATGAGCCTCCGTCGAAAGCAATATGATAACAGGTCGGAACATGTGAAGAATATAAGAGAATATCAAGTTTTTATCGATTCTGGTAAAACAGTACAGGCTGTTCTCATTTGGAAAGTATAGTGAGTGAGTACGGTTTTTACGCCGCTTTTAGCAATATTCCAGCAATATCACGGCGGGGGACACCACAAATGGGCTTCACACATAGTACCCATGTCGGGAATCGAACCCGGGTGTTCGGCGTGACGAGCGGACGCTTTAACCACAAGGCTACCCTACCGCCCCTGGAAAGTATATTAAACATTCTGATCGAACTCATTCGTCACCACTCGCCCCTTTCCGTAACCGACATGAAGACTCGTACCCCTATCAATGAATGTTATGTTAGAAAATACGACAAACCAATCAGACTGTGCGTATGACTTCAAGTACTTCGGTCAATGAATCCCTCAGGAATAATTTTTAACTTTACATATATATGTCTTGCATTCATAAATATACCCAACATTCAGTTAAATGTGTTTAAACATTCTGTATAATACCATAAGTCCAATGTGTTTTAAAAAGCATCTTGAAAAAATATACTTGTGGGGAAAATATACGTGAATCATTACGCAACGAGTTGACAATCCTATTAGCTATTCCAATTTGAGCTCAGACGGAACCCAGTTGCAAAATATGGCACCTGTCGCTATTCGTCTTGTCCAGGAATAACACGAGTTGGTCACGAATGTGATCGAACTCAAAGGCACCATAAAAAAACAATCAACAAAAACAAACAAAAACGTTTGTCATCTTTAGTTTGTTTGTAATTCACACTTTGTCATTCCAAATATTGTTACTGCACGCAGGGGAAATGGGTCTTGTTAGAACCAGTTATTCGCCATCCCCGACCACCCAGTGTATTTAACATAATAGAATAGATATGTTACGCTGGATAATCGGGTGTGACTATTCTTTGAATACAGTGAAACCTCGTTAATCCGTCAACTTCGACGTCCGGGCGAGTACTTCAGGGAACGCCAGCATGTATTCACTGTACGACCCTGTTTATCCGGACATTACTGTCCGTTTTAGATAAGGCAACATATCCCAAACACCGCCACACCGCGTACAGGTATGTGGTACAATCTATGTGAAAATACCGAAATGTTGGTGAATTCTAAGATTCAGGTTCCACATCGTAAATCGATGTCATAGTATATTTCCAAAACTCTTTAGTGAGAAGTTATTACTTTTGATTTCAGACATTTGAAAAATGTTCATGTCAGTGAAATAGTTAAATGAGATACCATTATCGGTCACGCTATCCATGAAACGCATCATAAATGCACGCACGCACGCAAACATAATATATCAGTGACATTAAAAAAACCCGTCAAATGCCCTACATAGATACACTTCACTAAGAAAGACGGCCTAGTGTTCAGATGACGACATGTAATCAATATGTGACGTCATATCGTATTTCTCCCAACGATGATGTGACATAAGCCTTCTATTGACCATCGCTAACATGCACATATCGTAAAGTTATAACACAGGATCATTCTATCCTTGTGGGTAATATTTCAAGTAGGTACACCATAGAGCTTGAAATTTGACACTTAGCTTCGACTGACACGTTATATCTTTGCGTCACAATGAGTGATGTGATGTCATAATAGAGACTCGTGTAGAACGAAACTGCGAACCTTGCTTATTCTTTTTTTTCCAAGGAGCTAGCTTCATGTTGGTACCCGAAGTAAGCGTGTGACAAACTTTCAATGAGAGTATTCAAGTTCAAGTACATCTTTGTCATGGTAGAATGGAGATACAGATTTAACTGCTTAAAATTGAATTTTGAACCTGGCCCCTGTTACAAACCCAAGAGCATAGATTTACTAAAATATGTATCCCCATTCCAGTCGCCCCCCTTTACAGCTCTTTGGAAATCTAAATATTGTTCAGATGACGTAATGGTGTCAGTTTGTGACGTCATGAATAATGGCACACTCCGGCGAAGTGACGACTCAGCATAACGCCAGTGCCACAGAATAATTTGCATATCACGTGACCTGACTTTTCTCCTGTTTGTAAACAAACGCGCGCTTTTTCAAAAATCAGAATAGAACGGACTAATGCAAGTATCTGGGGGCGCTTTACATATCGTTTTGCATAAGTATATAAATATGCTACTACAACTGCGACAGTGAGATGCATGACAATACATATTTACACATCAATGACGGCACGTGGAGCCGTACAATCAATGTAAACGTGGGATAACTACGAAAATGGAAATAGATTTTCACGATTTAGGATATTTTCCCAATGAATGTTAACCATTTTATGACATATGTTTATCTAGATATGTAGACTTGTCAAACATGAAACAGATGAAAAACATATGCAATATCTTGAATGGACTGTGTAAGATGTTACGAATCGTCACATGGCGCTGGCCTGTGGCAGAGGTACTTTGCTGGCCGCATCGAACTCTGGGTAGGAGAGTGGAATAATGGATAATGTCACAATGCAAACTGGTGTCATTGTTGGTACACGCCGCTTTAAATTGCATCTGAAATATATATAATATATGGAGAAATATATGTGAACCATTACGCAACGAATTGACAATTGTTTTAGGTGTGCCCGTTTGCGCTAAGACGGAACCCGGTCGCAAAAATGGCCACGAGAGGGGCACGAGTCGCTATTCGGCTTGTCCCGGAATAACACGAGTTGGTCACAAATGCTCTGGGTAGGAGAATGCGCTGTTAGAGAGGTTAGGTGGGCAGGACCCCAGTCAATTTAACAACGAAACAACGTGACGTCATGCGGCTCCAGCTGACCAATCGGCCTCAATAACCGCTAATGTGCACATGTGCAAATATAGACAGGGTATTACATTCCTTTGCTCTGACATTAAGAGTAATTGCTAGTGTTGGAGACAGGTTTGGTATAAATAAAACTTCAGTACAACATCCGGTTCATTCGACACCACTCGTCCATTTCCGTAACATCCAAACATTGTCGCCGTGTGGCATGTCCCGA